GTTTTTCGCACAAGGGGCAATAACTTTTAAAAGGTTTAATCTTAGGGCACAAGAATGAAATCCTTGAAACAGATTTAAGAGTACATATCACTGATGTATAGACATTAAGTATATGTTGAAAGACAAAAGAGATACAAAAAGAGCTAATTTTCTCATTTTTGGAATGACCTTGACCTTTGACCTTTACATGAATTTTAAGGTCAAAGGTCAATAAATCTTATGCAGTTGGTCCCATGTCTCTACGACTTGTCGTTTTAAAAATTTTTAACTATTTGTAAAATTCAAAAAAGTTTCAGGGGCAATAACTGATTGAAGGGGTCACCGAATACTTTCGCACTGAATAGATGAAGAGTCCTCTCAATTAGTCAAAGACTTTACTAAAGGTTTCAGATCTCTACGGCTTATGGTTTCGGAGAAGTAGCGATAACAAGCATTTTTTGGGAAAGGGGCAATAACTTCGAAAGCGGTCAAGGTTCATTTACGCAGGGTCAACTGCAATAATCTTTTTTGGAGTACATTCTTATGGACTATAAATCTCTTCGATATATCTTGAAACTCAAAATCACACGGCGGAAAAAAAAGAAGAATAACTAGGAGACTTATTGTTCACAGAACAATAAGAGGTCTTTCCAGCTTTTTAAGTGTTTCCGTGTCATTCGGGTTGAAAAAACGAAGAAAAACGCAAAAAAAATAAAAAAAAAAATAAAAAAAAAAAAAAAAATAAGGTGCTCCAGCAGGATTCGATCCCTGGACCCTCTGATTAGCAGGCGAGCGCTCTAACCACTACGCCACGGGTTCCGTTGAAATTGTGTTGTATTATTGTCGAGTTAAAGTTAACGGAATTTCCTTGATTCATTGACCAGTCAAAGAGTTCCAGTTGAGACACTTCTGAAAGCTCCTGGGAGTATATGTGAGTTTGAATGAGATTGTTTTCGAGTTAAAATGTAAGGGATAGGGTCCGATTACAATTATGATATTGGTATTAACGGGGATACATGCATTTGAGGTTGCGTAGCAATTTATGTATTTGAAAAAGGCCGCGTTCGTTTTGACAGATATGGTCAATTCATAGGTAAGATTTTATAATCATTTCTATTTGAATTGAATTCATAGTTACCAGCATAAATTAAACTTGAAACATGCATCTCAAAAAAAAAAAAAAAAAAAAAAAAAAACGGTGTCATTGAGAGCGTGGAAATTTATTTGACAGGAAAAATCGCAATTTTCGAGATTCATTCCAACAATATTAAATCTAAATAAAATTGAAATAAATTCCACATACTAAAGAAAGCAAGAATATTTGGTATCGAAATATCGTATTAGAGCAGGAGAATCGAGTGATATTAACAACAATCTAAGAAATGGCCAATACTAGCTTTAATTGATTTTTATACTCAGCAAGAATTAAATTTCAGACAGAAAAAAAATGTAGATTTGTCCGATATTTACTAAAATTTAATTGTACTTAAGAGACTCACCGTAAAACTCTCAGGGCACTTTCTTTGAGGTGTCTTCTACATGCTAAACTGAATTTTATCTTGATCTGTGATGTCTTTTGAGTTGTAGAAAAATTTTCTATGCCGCTATTGATTTTTTTTTTTTTTAGAGAAATGGGGGGGGTTGTATTATATAAGTGTTTGTTGACGTGACAGTTATAAATACCTCCACATAATAAAGCTTGATTGTGACCTTTGGGTCAAAGGTCAAGGTCATTTACCAAGGTCAAAGGTCAAGGTCATCCAAAAAAAAGCACTTAGCCTTATAAACTTGAGTTTTACACTTGAAGCTGAATCTAGGTAAAGATAATGAATATATCTTTTTAAACTTTTGAGAAAAGGTCAATGGTCAAGGTCAAATATCAAGGTCAAAGGTCAAGGTCATTTTAACCAAAAGCCCGTAAATAAGCAATTTTGATGCTTTCCCAATGACTTTGACCTTGACCTAATATTCAAGGTCAAAGGTCAAAAGATCTCATGCAGTTGGGCCCATGTCTTTACGACTTGTCGTTAAGAAGTTTTTAGTTCTTTGTAAACATCATAAACTGCCAGGGGCAATAACTGCATAAAATGTTTACGAATTCTTTCGCACTAATAGGATGAGAAGTGTACTAAATTAGTCGCAGACATTGTTGAAGGTTTTGTACCTCTACGGTTTACGGTTTCGGAGGAGTAGCGATAACAAGGGTTTACACTGAAAGGGGCACTAACTTTTAGAGGGTTCAATCTTAGGGGACAAGCATGGAATCTCTGAAATGGTTTTAAGAGTACATACTAAAGATGCAAAGAAGTTTAGAATTTGGTAAAGAACAGAAGAGCTATAAAAAATGCTGAATTTTACCTATTTTGAATGACCTTGACCTTTGACCTTGACCTAGATTTTAAGGTCAAAGGTCAAGAAATCTTTTGCAGTTGGCCCCATGTCTCTACGCCTTGTCGTTTTAGAAAAATTCTTGATATTTGTAAACATCGCAAACATTCAGGGGCAATAATTCATTATAGGAGTTTATGAATCCTTTCGCAATGTTTGATTGGAGAGTCTACTAAATCAGTCGTAAACATTAATAAAGGTTTGGAATCTCTGTGGTTTATGGTTTCGGAGGAGTAGCGATAACAAGCTTTTATTGCGAAAGGGGTCGTAACTCCGAAAGGGGTCAAAGTTCATATACGCAGGGTCAACTGCAAAAATCTTTTACGGAGTACATTTTTATCGACTGAAAATCTTTTTGATAAATCTTGAAACAAAAAATCACACGGCGGAAAAATAATAAAGAAAAAGGAAAAAAAGAAACAGAAGAATATCAATAGGTCTTTCCAGAGAAAGCTGGAAAGACCTAATAAGAAACAGAAGAATACCAATAGGTCTTTCCACGGAAAGGTGGAAAGACCTAATAACTAGGAGACTTATTGTTCACAGAACAATAAGAGGTCTTTCCACATTTTAAATTTCAATTTCATTTAATATGTATCTGTTTAAAATTAAATTTCATAAAAAAGAAACCAGAAATGGCTTAAAAGAAAAAAAAAATAAAAATAAATTTTTTTTTTAGGTAACCTTGACCTTTGACCTTCAAGTCATATTCAAGGTCAAAGGTCAAGGGTCACATTGTAATTAACCCAATGTCTCTATAACTTATAGTTTTAAAGTTATAAGGTTTAATAGTAAGCACAAAAGCATTTAAGGGCAGTAACTCACTCAAGGAGTCACCAGATCCTTTTGCACTTGAACATAAAAGTTTTGCCTCAAGTCCATAGAGAAGGTTTCATGTCTTTGCAGTTTACGGTTTTGGAGCTATATCAATAAAAATGTTTTTTGTACAAGGGGCAATAATTTTGAATAGGTTCAATATTAGGGGACGAGAATGAAATCTATGACACAGTTTTAAAAGTACATATTAATGTTGCATAGACTTTAAGCATATGTTGAAAGACAAAAGAGATATAAAGAGAGCTAAATTTCTCAGTTTTGGAATGACCTTGACCTTTGACCTTTACATGAATTTTAAGCTCAAAGGTCAATAAATCTTATGCAGTTGGTCCCATGTCTCTATCACTTCTCGTTTTGAAAATTTTTAATTATTTCTAAAATTCAAAAAGATTCAGGGGCAATAACTCATTGAAGAAGTCAACAAAGACTTTTGCAATGAATAGATTCCAGAATCCTCTCAATTAGTCGAAGACTTTAGTGAAGGTTTCATATTTGTACGGTTTATGGTTTCGCAGTAGTAGCCATAACAAGGTTTTCTGCACAAAGGGCGATAACTTTTTATAGAGACAATCTTACGGAATACAAATTGAATCTTTAAAATAGTTTTAAGAGTACATATTAATGATGCTAAGCCAGTTTGTATATGTTAAGAGACAAAAAAGATATAAAAAGAGCTCAATTTCTCAATTTTGGAATGACCTTGACCTTTGACCTTTACATGAATTTTAAGCTCAAAGCTCAATGAATCTTATGCAGTTGGTCCCATGTCTCTATCACTTCTCGTTTTGAAAATTTTTAATAATTTCCAAAAATCAAAAAGTTTCAGGGGCAATAACTCATTGAAGAAGTCACCGAAGGCTTTCGCAATGAATAGATTCCAGAATCCTCTCAATTAGTCGAAGAATTTAGTGAAGGTTTCATATTTGTACTGTTTATGGTTTCGCAGTAGTAGCGATAACAAGGTTTTCCGCACAAAGGGAGATAACTTTTTATAGAGTCAATCTTACGGAATACAAATTGAATCTTTAAAATAGTTTTTAGAGTACATATTAATGATGCTAAGACAGTTTGTATATGTTAAGAGACAAAAAAGATATAAAAAGAGCTTAATTTCTCAATTTTGGAATGACCTTGACCTTTGACCTTTACATGAATTTTAAGCTCAAAACTCAATGAATCTTATGCAGTTGGTCCTATGTCTCTATCACTTTTCGTTTTGAAAAATTTTAATTATTTGTACAATTCAAAAAGTTTCAGGGGCAATAACTCATTGAAGAAGTCACCGAATACTTTCGCAATGAATAGATTGAAGAGTCCTCTCAATGAGTCGAAGACTTTAGTGAAGGTTTCATATTTCTACGGTTTATGGTTTCGAAGGAGTAGCGATAACAAGCATTTCTTGCGAAAGGGGCAATAACTTCAAAAGCGGTCAAAGTTCAAACATGGGGGGTCATTTTTCGGAATAACTTTTAATATCCAATATCATAAACTATAAAGTTTTTCGATAAGTCTAACGGTTTCAAAACATCTCCAGAAATAAAATAATAATAAACAGAAGCATTTCAAGAGGTCTTTCCACAGAAAGGTGGAAAGACCTAATAAGAAACAGAAGAAAATCAATAGGTCTTTCGACAGAAAGGTGGAAAGACCTAATAATGATTCACCAAAAATTAAACTAGCTTCTTAAATATACGTAGAATGCATGTTGTTCATTTTTATCAAAGAATACCTCCGTAAGATTTCATCAGCTTTGTTTTCCCCTAAAGAAAAAGAAAAGCTACAGAACGATTTCTCACCTAGTTTCTCCCTCAAGGCAGTCTTGTCAATGTCATTCAAAAGACGGCTTGTAAGATCGTTCAGTTCATGCATTTTCAGAATGGAAAGCAATTTAAGGTATGACCCTGGTAATTGATTGCTTACGCTGTCGAGAAGAAAATTGGCCACCTTGGATTTCTTTATCTCTGCCGATACTTCTTCATGGTCATCCACAGATAGAACATCTTCCTCTAAGAAATCGTCAACAATGCTGTCACTTCTATCCGATATCCTCGACATAATTTCGTTCATAAGCTCATGCCTGTTTCTTCTCAAAACTTCGTTCAAACATGTGGAGCTTGGAACTTAAAATGAAAAAAAAGACTTAATTAGATTTAAAGATCGATGTAGCCAGGTTTAGGTTTTACTTCAAAACATTTAATATCGTATTTAATGTACTTGATGTTCCTCTTTTAGAAAATGAGGCCCAAACTCTGAGTAGATAAATTTATTTTCATTTAATTCTATTAGAATTTAAACATCTAATAACAAATTCAACATGCTATTTAAGAAATAAGGTATCGTTTTTTAAGTTTTATTTGTAAGAAAATACGGAATGGTCACGGAAGATATTATCCATTTAAGACCTCAGGACATATGTAAAATTTACCATGTACATCCCCCCTCCAAATCAAAAAAAAAAAAATAGAAAAGAAATCTAATACTTACACTTTTTGCAAATGGTTGCCCTAAAATGCGTTTAAAACATTCCATTGTTTTAAACTAAATAAGCGTATTAGTTAAATTGACTCAAGACAAACTAGTTCAAACATGTTGCATCAATTTAATCAACACTGTGTAAAAGTATTATATAAATTTTGCATGTTATTATGTGAAACATTGAAATTTTTCACCCCAAGAAAACCATTGTCAACCAAGGCGCATCCATGATACTGAATGTTTTGTACAAATACGTATAACAGTGAACCGTGCGCGCATAAATACTGCGCAGTCACTATTTTTTGTTACATGGTCAATACAATGACCATGTCAGCAAATACAGTTTATCACTGAGTCAAATGCTGACTGACATACCAATTGTTAGTCAATTTTTTATACACTTAATTGACGACGGATTTTTTCCGTTATTTCCTGATCATGACAAGGAACACACGTTGGGTGTGACCGGTAGGCAGGGAATGCTCGCTCCTCCATGGCACCTGATCCCACCTCTGATGTTTCGGAGGTTCGTGTTTGCTCTGCTTTTATTTTGTATTGTTTATGAACTTTGAGACTGTATACTGTTCGTTGTCTCTATATCTTTCTTTGAATATCACCCGTCGTCAAGCACTGTTGACTGTTGCTAAACTGGAGAGCGTGGCTTCATTATTCAGCGGGTAATACTATTATTACATTAAAAAAAAATGTTTTTCGACCAAACATATAACAAAATATTTTATTATACTTTCATGTTAAATACTTCAATCTGATTGGTTAAGACGCAGTTAACAATACGTTCTATTACCCTCAGCCGTAGCAACACACGTGGCAATGGGTAACACAACGGTATTGCTACATGGGTGGAAACTATGCGCCTACGGTTCACCGTGGAATTCTCAAAACGTTAGTTGCGCCTTTGAAAGAACCGGAATAAACTTGACGTCAATAAAAGCTTGTCTCCGAAGTAGCTTACTTGAAAACAAAAAACGACAGACGAAACATGCTTGAGAGTACAGAAATAACGAACCTTTAGATAATAAAGGACTCTTAGAGTATCAAATTAACAATAAAGAGGTATATAAATCTTTTTCGAAGTACCGGGGAGTTTGAAAGCTTTCTAAACGTGAACGTAAAGACGATCGACGATTTTTACTCAAGCCCTAGAGGGGCTTGAGTTATCTAAAACGATGCTAGGTCATCGATTTACTCAGTTTAAAAACACGAAATTATATTATATTTGTAGATAAACATATTTCTAGAAACAAAAATGAAGCTTATGTTGAAAACGTCTGTATATTCAAAAATATTAAGTGTTAAAAGTCGGATTCTATTCTACAGCGTATGAACAATGAGTGAAGCGTCGCAGCTGCAACAGTTTCTATACAGAGATTTCGCGCTTTCATTTGCGTAGGAATCTCAGGTACTTTTTACAGTCGCCGACAAAGCATCCTTGGACGAGTCCACTGGTTACTCTGAAAGGTGACGCAGGTTACCCCATTTCTAATTGTCCTTCTCTTAACAAATTTTCGAAACGCTTATTCTCGCAGTGTTGGTCTGATTTCAATATAATTTGGCATAACTTCACAAGTAGACTACACTAAGATACATTATTATAGATCTGTCAAAGTTTTACAATGCGTAGCAAAAAAATGTATGGCTGTACCCCCAAACTGAAATTGCCTATAACGGGCCTGAAAATGATGTGCACTTTGAGTGACAGTAAAATAATAGCGCAAAATTAATGTTAATTTCTCCCTCATACGTTTTTTTTATTTTAAAAAATCGTACTTTCTTCAGCTTTGGTAACGGAACCTAAATAACTTCTTTTGGATTCGAACGGAATATGTACTGTACATGCCGCACAGTTAGATGTACCCGTATACCGGTAATTACGTGGCTTTTTGGAGCCCTGAGACCCCCCCCTCCACTTTGAAAAACTTTTCTTCCGACTTGCAACAAGCTATTTAGATTGATGTTTATAAAATGTTTTTATGTACGTCATTAAGCAAAATTAAAAAAGCGTATAGTTTGAAGTATATGAAATGTCTACATAAAAAATATTTTATTAATTCAAGAAACGTCTAGTATACTCTATAAAATATTCCTGAAAGTGAGTAACGTAAATTCATCGTATAGTACGATAAATTATATTTATTCTAATTAACTTCATTATATAAATTTTGTTTCATGTACATGTATATAATTCAATAGAAGATTGAACTCAATAGCCCACATTATACCATTTTAGGATATTAATGACTTTTCTTAGTTGATTTTCATTTTCTACAGCTTGAGTATCTCTGACTTTTTGTCAGTATATACTTGTTTTTTTGCTGACAACCTAAATCAAGAAGACATTCAGTATAATAAAATAAATGATGCCTGTTTTGGAGGGTAACAGTTAAAATTGGCACCCTCGGAAAACCATTGTCATCCTCCGCTGTCGCATCAATTGACAATGGTTTTCCGAGGGGTGCCAATTTCAACTGTTACCCTCCAAAATAGGCACCATTTATATAATGTTAGGTGAACATAATATTCTCAAATGAAGAGAATTAATCATACTAGTACTCCCCGTCGAGGCCTCATCTACAGAGGTTTGTGAGTAAACGAACTCTGGGGGAAAATTGGAGAATTAATGTTTATTTTGAACAAAAATCGAAGAGAACTTCGCGGAATATCATTAGTGAAAAGGTCACAAGTTAAAAACACAGTGATTGAAAACAGAGAAATCGAGACGAATGTTTGGTGCTCACTGAAGAACTAGCATCAAAAGCTGAATGATTTATATTTATAACTTCGGAGAAATGTTTTGAAATGCTAACTTTCCTTGTGAAACTAAAACAAATCCACCTTTCACTGATCGTGAAAATCTAAGCATTGTTGAACAAAATGGAATGAATAATTGCATTGACGAAGGAGAACTGGTGAACGTGGGGCAGAAAAAAATAAGTAGATGTACGTTTAAGGTCTTCAGGAAAAATAACTGCTCTATGGTTTGTAACTATTGTTTTCGTCATGGATAAACTATAATTTGTTGTTTTACATTTCTTGTCACAAACAATATCTAACGATGCTCCAAAACCTGAGGGTGTCGGTTGATTCAATTTGATTGCATACAGGTTTGAAGCTATTCTTGTGACAGTTCCCTGCTTGAGCAACCCTTCAATCCGCCATTCTTTTTGAAGTTGATTTGAGTATGGATTTGCAATGACATTTCCTCAATTTTTCAGAAAGGATCTCAGAAGTGACAGTTGGAAATTGAGAAAAATCTTGAATGATCTCATGTCAATCTATAAATTGTAAAGCAAAAATATTCAAAACATTGATTTTGATTATATTGATTTCATTTTAAAGATATATTTTCATATGCACTCGTCTGTTGCTTAGTTTGTATGTTTATTATTTACATAGAATATTGATTTTAAAATTAAAATGCATTTTAAATAGTTAATAGTATTTCTTTATATTTGTTAGATACAAAATTTATTATATTTTTGAATCACCCATTTAAATGCAGTGGTTGCAGCGTCTTCTCTAAAGTCACGAAGTAAAGAGCTGATCCTTACGTTCTGGGTTCGAATCTTCTGCGGGACGTGGAGACCTCTCCTTCTGAGGAGACCTTGGTCCATTGTCGCAGTAGGTGTTGACACAAAAAAGAACCCTAACTGCTCAATGGTCCTGAGTGCCAAGCATAGGTGTTACTATTCCACAAAAAATTAGAAGATAAGAAATAAGTATTAAAAATAACCTCAACATATCTTGACCTAAAGCATGGCTGAAAATAAAAAAAATACAATCTCATCAGCTCCCCTTTCATGAATATATATCTTGCTTCAAATACTTATAGCAAGACTATGGTTTCAAAGGGCAATAACTGACACTTACTCCAAATTCATAAAGGATAAATCCTACCTTCTGTATTTTGAGTCTTTGAGTGATCCAGTTTGATGACATCTAAAATTAAAAAAAAGATCATTTAAAAATATCCCTGAAGGGAAAGAAAATTGACCGTAAAAAACATGATTTCATACAAAAAGGTAAGTATTAGCTGATGTTTTACCATGAATGCTTTGCAAATTGAAATACAATCAAAAACGTGAAGAATCACTCACAAGAAGGATATGAAGAAAACGAACATTATTTCGAAGACATTGATAAACATATAATTATAGATTATATTGGATGTGAAATGTAAACGAACAGTCAGTAAAATCCACCTGTGACGTCATTATTTTGTTTGAGCGCTCCATTATTTATAAGGAATGGAGAGTTGCAAATTACATTGAAAACGGAATTTATGTTCTTTTCTCCTTTCCGTGCCTCTACCAAGGAAAGAACTTAGAAAATTTTAGAGAAGAGTTTAAGAAAACTGTAATGATTAGTTTCACATTAAGAAAATTAGCACCCACGAAGAGAATCGAACCCGGTAAACTGTACCTTCACCATGGCAGTCCGATGCTCATTTCACTGAGCTATCGAGGCTGTTGAGAAACGTGTGTTCAGATTAACTTCAGTACAGTCTTTTTAGTTTTTCTTTCTATATTATATATAAATAATACTACTAATATATAAAAACTATTTACAATGTATCATATAAATATTCTTTATTATGTATTAACAAACAATAAAAGCAAGCATTCAAAAAGGCGGATTTTACGCGGGTTAAAATACTTGTAGCGCTCCATTCCTTAAAAGTAATGGGCCTCGGCCCCTTCGGGGCCTCGGTCCATTACTTTTAAGGAATGGAGCGCTACTCGTACATTAACCCTTACATAAATCCCAGCTGTTACTTCAATTAACAAAACAACGACTTTATAATCCAGTCTATGTTTATATATAAAAGTGAAGATAACGAAGGGAAATTGAACAATCAACTCTATGTTACCTTCCGAGTGAAGATTATAAGGATTTAATTGTTCAACATTGTTCTAAAAAATAGTACGAGAAATTCCAAATTGTAACAATGAAACATATGGAGATAACGAACAGTATTCAAGATAAAAGTCCATAAAACAAAATAGGAGCAGACCAAACACGGACCTCCAAAACATCAGAACTGGGATCAGGTGCCATGGAGGAGTGAGTATCCCCTGGCGACCGGTCACCCCCGCCGTGTGCTTGTCTCTTTGTCGGGAAATTACGGAAAAATCCGTCGTCAATTCAGTGTATAAATAATGGGCTAACAATAAGTATGAAAAGCGTCAGTCAGCATTTGTGTCAATGATAAACTGTATTTGCTGACAAGGTCATTGTATTGAACATAGAATTTACGAAATGATGACTTTAAAGGGGACATCTGAGATTTTTGTTTCAGCAACTTGCTTGTCATTAATTTATTTCGTTTTAGAAATTGTTCATATCTATAGCATGCTCTTGCGTATCGAATCAATTGAGATATATATACTCCGTATGCAGGTGATGAAGGTATATTGCTGCTTAAGTAACAGAGTAAGGGAAGTTGACGATAGACAAATTAAAGTAATCACATTTATCATATAGCTTGGTTTTTTAGTTTACCATTAACGTCTTTTTTAAGTAAAATATCCAAGTATGAAACAGATGTGTCATAGTCTGTGGTATCATTAATCTCAGGCTCACCAGGATATAAAAGCAGTTTACACTTTCTCTAAAGAAAAACAACATATGTTTACCTTTAATGGAAAAATCAGTCAATTTGACCAAAAATATATTTTTTACACCTTTTCATGGGGAAAATCATCGTCCAGTAATTGCTTCTTTACATCTATATGTATGTAATAATATATATCTTGTGAAGTCTGAAAAGAAATGGACTATATTCAAAGCAGGAAAAGAAATGGACTATATTAAAAACAGGTAATTTGATTTAATCTTAATTACTGTGCTGACTAATCTGCCTATTTTTTTTTTTTAAAAATCGTGCAAAATATGCGATGCTACAAAAAATTTCAGTTCAGTGAAGAAATAACATTTTAAAATTCATTCAAAAATCAATGTCTTAATCGTTTATAATTCCTAGTGATGCCAAGGAATCATAGAAAATGTAAATCCAACGACTTCTCCAGTGCAAATATTTTTTGTTATTCTTAATTTTATCCTTTACAAAAGTTTCTAAGAGTTTTTTTTGAAAAACCACATAAGTACCTAATATCTAATATATCATTGTCAGGTTGCTGTTATTTTAAGATGAAAATGGCTTTAACTGGCATATCTAATAGCTCTTTATCCAGTGGTGGCGTCCCCATATGAACGAAAAAATTCTCGAGACGAAAGTTTAACAATAAACAAACAAAGCTGTTAAAACTATAACATATAACACATAAAAAACATATAAAAATATGGTATGCCTTTGTGCTGGAGATTGCATTGTTATCCTGTAGCATATACATTTGCCTTTTTTACAAAGATATATGGATTCCGACATTGTTTAAATTACATTGACTTAATTTGTTTATAATTCTTATTTAAAGTAATATTCAGAGGTCCTGTACCTTCTAAGAGTTTCACTCCCCATTGAGTAGTCTATTTCTTTTTGTTGAGATGGATGGTCTAGAGTCCTCAAATCTCCTCAGACATTGACTTGAATCCTAGGAGGCCCCTCCATACCCGACATCTTAAGCTCCTTCCCGACCTCTATGGCTGGGGCCATAGAGGGGATAGGATAAAGCCATCATATTTATGTCAAAAAGGTACATCACCGGGTCGTCATTATAGAGGTCAAAATTGCTAAATTCAGCCTTAATGATTTTATGTTATGATTTGGGGGAGGCAGACGGGTACATACATTGCATATGAATAAAGAGATATTTTGCAAATCAAAAATAATTTTTTTAAACAGAATTCATTTTGTGAACGATTTTTTTAATCCGGTCTTGTGTTTCAACACTTCTATTTGATTTCTGTATGTTTTGTTAACGTACGTAGTAAAAGAAGTGACCAATTAGTCAGTTGGTCAATGTAATCATTAGCGTGTGACCTCTTGACCAAAAACGACTGACTCAAATGAAACACATAGAGATAACTAACAATTTTAAGTAAGGAAAACATTTGCAAGTGTAAGTATATCCTTAAAAGGTAAATTTGAAAAGATAAAAAAGTAATAAGAAAATTAGTTAATACAACAATGAAGGATGATCTTACCGTTTTCAACAGTGTTAACATTTTCATTTGCGGTTGTTTCAGAACGTGGAAGAGAAAGAAAACAATGAAATCTTTTCTCTTTGGAATAGCGTTTTATCATTGTTGTTAATTCTGTTAAATGACCTGGATGTCGTAGCAATTTACGTAAAACAAAGTCGCATTTTTTTGCTCGAGGTAGTTTTTTTCCAATGAGACGCGAATCCTCTTCTTCTGTCAAAATCTTGTGCTGTACTAGATAGTCTACTAAGTTATCTGGTTCCATTTGTTTTTTCAGAAATTTATAGTTCCTCCTTATGTAATGTGTTGACAAGATAACCTCTTTTCCTGAACCACCACTTTCCTCTCCACTGTGGAATACCAATTCACTTTCCATACTGGGAAAGGTTGTTAGCTGAAGACAAAAAACAGATTTTGTTTTATTGTTTTTTACTGATGGTCAACCAACTAATCAATGAAGGATATGGAAATAACGAACAGTATTTAATCTCAACGTCCATTAAACAATATAAAAAAAAAAAGCATAGCAAACACGGACCTCCGAAACATCAGAGGTGGGATCAGGTGCCATGAAAGAGTGAGCATCCCTAAATAAATCAGCAAAAACAAAGTCCATCATTTAATAAAAATAAACAAAAGGTACCGCTTGATTCACCGAAAAGTTTACAATTGATGACATAAAAAGTCTAAATAAGGTAAAGAAGACAATCTGTGAATGACTGTGATCCATCTAAAAAAAATATACAAAACAAAAAAACAAGCCTTTGAAACAGCCAAACCATTGGCTCCAATAAGTTTCATAAGTGCTTACTCCTTCTGAGGATAGAAAGAATTCTCTGTTATCCAGACATAACTTGGTATTATCAGTCATAAAAATACATTCCTCAAACAAATCTAAAAGGTGAAAATGGCGAACAGTGGTCGATCCCAAGACAAATCTATAAGCAATGCAAATTTGTGAAGAATGCAAAAAACACATACCCCGAAAACACAAGGATCTGGTACCCAGAAGGAGTAAGCATCCCCTGTGGACCGATCACATCCACCGTAAACCCTTTAAAGAGATCAAAGATACACGGAATAATCAAATCAGTGTTAAAACAATGGAATTATTTATCAAGTATGAAAACAAGTCATTCTAAATATGATATGATGACAGTTTAAAGGATCACTTCATTTTAAATATATATCTGACCTATAGAACCGGGCTTGGTTTTATTCTCCATTAAAAGCTTGTCAATTTCCGTTCCGATTAATGACATTAGGCTGAATACATTTAACATTTTTTTTCTAAATCGTTATTTCAGTGAGTAGATGTAGAAGATACCCTTTCATTGACCTTCTGAATTTGTTATCTCCAAATGTATACTTGAAATTTGTCTTTACTACTCATTGTGCATAATGGTAATGTTTACTGTCTCTGTAATTCTATATTTGTGTCTAGGCTATTTATCTATGGATATAATAAAACATGTCATTAAGGTGTGCAAATTTTATGGGCCTAAATGAAATCTAAGTGAGTACAGTTACTGATATATGTAGCCAAAACCAATGTGATTAAATTCTAAGGAATATATACAATTGACATTCATCGCTGCTCAATGCTGCCAAAAATACCTGTATAGAGTAACACAGAGTGAGTTATTCTTGTCCTCGGAGAAAGTGTGCTTATACTGATATTTGTTCCGCCTGAATGCCAACTGAACATTTGATTGTTACGATTTGACATCTCTTTAGTTTTTCTTGTATCGAGAATGGACATACATAAGGGATAGATAATTGAAGGAAAATACACAAGTCTATTTGAAAAAAACAATGAAAATAGTCTTTGAAAAGGTGAAATTTAAAACTTTAAAAGTGTGGTGCCAGATGGATTCGAACCCGCCATTTTAAAAAGAATCAATTCACGGTGTATAAATTCATGCATATATCATATGAGCTAGACCTTCTATAAAAATATTTAGTAAAAATTTGAAGCAGATTTTGGAAATCAGGTTTCTATATTTTTTTTGTAGGGTTTTCGTGAACTTCGACCATAGGGCAGGGGTGCCCTAAAAAATCCTATCTTAAATCATTCCTTACATCATATCCCATCAAAATATCACAATTCTATTTAAAGGTAGGCCTGATCTGAAGGACTTCTCGGCCAAATTTCATGCAAAAATCAATGCTTAGCGGACAAAATTGTGTTTAGCCAACTGTGGAGGTTTATTGTAAAGTTGGGAATAATAAACTTTAGGTATAAAATACAAATAAATAAAAAAAGATATATATACGGTAAAAAAACAACAAATAAAGATTAATATTGAAATGTCACTTTTTCCGGGGAATTGTACTCTCCTATAGGTCAATTCTTTTGTCAAAGCGAATACTTCCTTAGGAAAATAGATTTCAAAACAAAGACCTTGCAAAAGGTATGAACCATGCCAAGGGTTTAATAAAAGAATGAAAGATTATCTTTGTTAACAAGCTTGAGAAGAGATAGGACTTCCATATCTGACATGTTCATTACCTTTGACAAGATTTGACACAATATGTCATAAAAATGACATCCCACCCACAAAGACACCGAAAGCGAGTGACAGGAAGGATATGGAAATAACGAACAGTATTCAATCTCAAATATACAAAATAAGAGCAGAGAAAACACGGACCCCCGAAACATCAGAGGTGGGATCAGGTGCGATGGAGGAGTGAGCATCCCCTGCCGACCGGTCACACCCGCCGTTTGCTCGTTGTCATAATCAGGATATAACGGAAAAAATCCGTGGTCAATTCAGTGTATAAATAATGGAATAACAATTGGTATAAAAAACGTCAGTCAGCATTTCATTCAATGATAAATTGTATTTGCTGACAAGGTCATTGTATCGACCATAGAATTTACGAAATGATGACAACAATTCTTTAATTTTTCCACTTTTTTGCAATGTGACAAGTAAAATCGACACATATATGAAAAAAAACTATACTGGCTAAAGATGTCAAAGGCTATCTAACAATGAAATCAAGATCGATGTTGTCGTTATCCCATAAAAGGTCTTGCCACAAAAATACATAAGTGAAGTGTAAATGCCCTGGTTGATACTATTCAAAAGATGTGGCCAAAGTAAAAGTTTAGAATTTTTGGGTTAAAGTGAGTCAAACTCCAAGGGAAAGGTCAAATTTGGTGGTACCCAAAGAAAGTTCTTGTCACAAAAAATACACATGTGAAATATAAATGTCATAGCTCTACTAAATCAAAAGTTATAGGCAATGTTAAAGTTTTTGCGGACAAACAGAGAGACAGACAGGGAGACAGACAGACAGAAGACAGACAGAAGACAGACGGACGGACACGACGAAAACTATATACCCCTGAAACGTCGTTTACGGGGGCATTATAAAAGAATGGGGGTGTACAAGGCAAAGACAATCCCCTACTCTAAAAAACAAGACATTTCTCAATATTCTAAAAGTAGTATTTTTTTATAAAATTTTATGGTTTATATCATATTTTACATCAAATTCTGTATACCATTGTTTTTACAATTAAATAAAAAATTATTTTTCACTCATGTCTTTAAGACATTTGAAAACAACAAAAAAAAAAAGCTTCAGGTATGGTATAATTCGAACTTTCTCTATAGCGCAGGTTTGGTCCAAGACCAACCGCTCAAACGACTACGAGACGAAGCATGTGCATTATTGTCGTCTTTCAGTGTGATTTAAATGGACGGGTTTGTTGAAGCTTAATTTTTTTCAGAAAAGTTCGATTTCAAAAAGTAACACCTATTTTTAGGAAATGTGACAAAGCTGACCCGAATAATTATCGTCCTTTTTCTATTCTACCAACTATATCTAAATTGATAGAAAAACATGTAGCTAAGCTAATACAAAATTTCACTAATGAATTTGATCTACTTACACATTCCCAGTCGGGGTTTAGGGAACTCCATTCCTGTCAAACTTCACTTACAAAACTAACAGAAAGTTGGCTTACTGCAATGGATCATGGTGAATTAATCGGTATAACATTTATAGATTTTAGTAAAGCATTTGATTTAGTGAATCATGATATTCTTCTAGAGAAATTAACCCATTACAAATTTGACCAAACAGCTATAAAGTGGTTTAAATCATATCTTTACGATAGGACCCAGTGTGTTAAATTTGGATCATGTGTCTCCAACATTCTACCCGTCACAGCAGGAGTGCCACAAGGGTCAATTTTGGGCCCACTTTTATCTTTATTGTACATAAATGACCTTCCATTACATGTAAACAATTCAAATATTGATATGTTTGCTTATGATGTAACTCTGTATTCTAATAATAATAATGCAAGATGTTTAGAAAATACACTTAATTCAGATTTGGGAGATTGAGAAATGGTGTGCTCAAAATCAAATGGTTTTAAATGTAGATAAAACAAAATGTATGTTTAAGGGGACACAGCAAAGAAAATCAAAATTAGATAATCCAAATTTGGATGCCTCAGACAAAACAATTGAAATGGTTGAAACTGTAAAAAAATTCTTTGTGTACATATTAATGATAAGTTACAGTACGCAAATCATATTGATTCGGTTTGTAAAACGATAAATTATGTTATTTACTCTTCGAAGGATTAAGTAATTTCTCCCTCTACATACCAGAAAACTATATTACAATGCTTATATTTTACCATCTATTAACTATTGTTTGACTATCTGGGTTAATGCCACCAAGCAGGACATGGACAGACTATTTAAATTACAGAAAAGGGCAGCAAGCATAATTCTTGACGCAAGTCCAGATTCTTCTTCTAAACCACTGTTTGAGAAACTTGGATGGTTTACAGTTTATGAGCTAGTTGATCTGTACAAATACATATTATTATACAAAATTTTCAGTGGAATGACTCCCCAATATCTTTGTAATCTATTTGAATTTCATTCTTCTACTTCTTATAATCTTCGATCTGAAAGTAATCATGATCTAAGATTGCCGAAATTTCGTACAAACTTATTCAAGACCTCTTTTTAGTATTCAGGTGTACATCTATGGAATAAACTTCCCCAACACATTAGACTCTCTCAATCTCTACGAACATTTAAGCGTAATATAGAAAATTACATCATCAGCTGTCGCACAATTATTTGAGGACAATAAGGTTTCGAAATTGTATATTGTATTATGATTGTCAATTAACTATACATGGACACTATATTCATAATCGTATGATTGAAATTCCTTTAACATATTACTATTATATATGATGAATTTTATTCTGTATTATTTTTTGTATTTGATATATATAGAAGGCCCTGAGGAAGAATAGTGCATGCACTAACCAGGTTACCTTCTTTAAATAAAGTATTCATTATTATTATTATTATTTTCATATAGAGTGGG